GTTAGCTGCTGTCGTTTTTGTGGCTGAGCCTTCCACCATTGGCCGTTAGATTAATACACGATCTGACCAGTGGAAGTAATAGAGCAGCTAAGTAAGTGCGGTATGGCCGTGCATCTGCGCCACCATCAGCGGGGTGCAAGGTCTAATACATAAGGGGTACCTAACGTGTGTTTTGTCATGGTGTGGGTGGATGCATGTACCCGGCCAAAATAGTAGTTCTCTGTACACACGTGCGCACAGAACTATATGCGGTGTGAGACAGCTGAGGTGCACCTACCACACACGGTGGCGTTCCTGAAGTGCATCTCATTGAAGGTAGCTACTATTAGCAGTAACAACATCTAATCAGCTAGCCCATCCTTGTCGTGCATGTAGTTCACCTACCTGTGGGTTCATGTAAGTCAGCAATACTACACCTGTGCAGGCTTCTCTGTTTATATGCCGCGTTTCGTGTCTAGGACTGCACTAGCAGTCTGCAAGCAGGCATAGCTCAGCGGTAGGTACTTCAGCCTTCCAGATCTCTCCTTGCGATAGGTTCCTCGTGTAGGTGCGAAAACAGCACTTTTGTGGTCCATGTGCCAGGATGTGGTCGCGTGGATAGAATGCAGAAACATACAGTGTCAAACTATTAATGTTACTTTCACCGGTTTTATGTTATTTGGTCCTCTTCTCAGAGCTTAGCATGTGCTGGTCTGAATTTTTATTTGGAACAAATATATCTACGACCATGGACTCGTAGCTATATTTGCTTTTGTTTTAGATGTAGAAGGTATGTGGCCTATGTATGCACTACTGTATGTTATATATCTCACAAAGTAGGTTCCCACTCATCTAGTAGGAGCATGGATGGGGGTAAGAACATCATCATCAATATAAGTCTGTGTGGTTTGCTCCCCAGGAGGGTTGTACCTCTTGACTGTGCTCTGATTGGTGAATGGGAACAAAAGAGAGAACGGGAAAGTTTCGCCGCTGAGATTGTAGAAACCAGGATGGAGTAGGGGTTGTGCTTTACCAGTCTCACCACCGCCTATGTTTAATTGATGCCAGATCTTATTATTTAGCATGTCCATAGGTGTGGACAAAGGGAGGAGTTATGAGGTACCTAACCGTACCTTGTATTGTCCCTCAGAGCGGCCTGCATGTTGTGTTCCTGTTTTGCGTTTCATCTGACTCATGCAAGGCATTAGATGCGCTGTAAATTCCTGCCGCCAGCTGTGAGCTTCCTGCACGCAGAGAAGTAGCTGGTAGTATTTTTTTTGCGTGCAAAGAAATGCACTAGCTGATAGTAGCCTGTGTGCGTGTAAATGAGCGGCTGGTAGTCAATTTGTATATAAGGGAAGAAGACATGTGGGGTAAATTTCTCCTAACGCAGTAACTATCCTACCTGGGAAGAGCAGGTGTTTTTTAGTCCTTTTATGCATGTCCCATCAAGTGTTCATACGTTTCATTGGACACGTGTTGTTTTTTTGTTGACAGACCCTCCACAGACTTCAACAGCAACACGTTGAGCGCATGTGGGGCTTCCTCTCGCCGACCAAGAAAGAGGCAGCATGGCCTTTCGATGGACCTGCGTCGTAATTGGTGAACCCAATTCCTCACCCACCGTACCCATTTAGCTCTATGGACAAGGCGTGATGATGGCTTCTAAATATCGCATCCATCAAACTTTGATGCAAGGGCTGGCAAGCTACGTTAGTGTGCTGTTAGATATCTTTGTTTTTGTGTGTGTGCAGGTCATGGCACCATACCGAGTGAGTCTGGGCCTGCAATATAGGTTACTGTTACCTGATGACGTTTTGACGGCTGAGGCTTCCACCATTGACCATTAAGCCAGTACACGAGCCCGTCAATGGAAGTAATAGATCAACTAAGTAAGTGAAATATGGCCATGCATTCGCGCTACCATCGGCAGGGTGAGAGATCTAATACAAAAGGGGTACCTAATGTGTGCTTTCTCAGCACGTGGCTAGATGCATCTATCCGGCCAAAAATGTACTTCTATGTGCACGTGTGCCCATAATGGAACCAACACAAACTCCTAAAAACCTATCTAGGGTAGGCGCCCAAACCGGGACAGCTTAGGTGTACCTGGTGCACACTGACACAGACTCCTAGAAACCTATGTAGGGTAGGAGGCGGCGCCTATAAGGGTCTCAGGTGACCCTGCCAGTGGACAAAAGGCACCACTCGTTTAATTGCAGTCACACATGCACCCACTCATGCCTAACGTGTTCGTAGCGATGCACTGCATCTGACATTGTTGCTATGCCCTCCCAAATTGGTAGCGTGCCTGAGGTGCATCTCATTGAAGACACCTACTGTTACCAGTACCACCATCTACTCAAGTAGGCCATCCTTGCCGTGCATGTAGTTCACCTGCCCATGGGTTCATGTTCGCCGCCAATACTACACCTACGTAGGCTTCTCTATTTATATGTCACGTTCCATGTTTAGGACTGCACCAGCGGCCTGCAGGCAGGCATAGGTCAGCACTGGGTCACTCAGCCTTCCAAATTTCTCCTTGCGATAGGTTCCTGGTATAGATACCAAAGCAGCGCTTGCTGTGGTCCATGTGCCAGGCAGTGGTCCACTAGATAAATTACAAGAATATACATTGTGAAACCATTAATGCAACTTCCAGCAGCTTTATCTTATTTGGTCCTCTTTTCAGGGCTTAGCATGTGCCGGTGACACTTTTTATTTTGAACAAATATAACTACAGACATGAAGTCGTAACTATATTTGCTTTTGTTTTAGATATAAAAGTTATGTGGTCTATGTATACACCAGTGTATGTTATATTTCTCACAAAGTAGGTTCCCGCTCATCTGGCAGGAACATGGATAAGGGTAGGAGCATCATCGTCAACATGGATAAGGGTAAGAGCATCATCGAGGATCCAGCGCCGCCACTTCCATTGGATGGTTTAGATGCCCATGATCTGGTGCCACCACTTCCATCGTCTGGTTTGGGTGCCCATGTCCCCGTGCCACCACTTCCATCGGGCGGCTTGGGTGCCCATCTCCCCGTGCCACCACTTCCATCGGGCGGCTTGGGTGCCCATGTCCCCGTGCCCCAGGTACTACTTTATTTAGTTGGCTTTGAATGAAGAATGATGGTATTGGCTTACCCCGCTCGCGTGCCTAAATGAATTCAGGTGGTGGCTTAATTCTCTGGGTCCACCTATACACGCGCAGATGTTCTGACTCTTCATATTTGCTTAACTTTGTTGTAGGATCCAGTTTTACTTGACATATCATGCACAAGCATTCTAAGACAGATCCTTCCCAAGATAGGCGCAGTTATTCGCACCGAGGGCGCAGTTAAGGTGGATAACAAGAAAACCATGGCCTGGCTCAGCATTGAGCTTCCTTCCCAACCGGGCAGCAAGGGCTTACCGGAAGTTCAGACTTTCCACAGCATCCCTTGCATGACCGAATATAAGGCACAAGAAAGTGTTTCTGAGCAAGCAATCTGCTATTTTATAGTGAGGCTGAATATTTGCATCAATGATCTAACTTATCCTGCCTTTAAGGAAACATACAAGCAACTGAACCACTTCATGTCCTGGTCCCAGCTTGTTCAGACCAGGTATGATATGCTGCGCGTACAAACGGACAATCTATTGAAATCTCATAAAAAACTTCTTGACCGCCTTGGCTCCATCTGTTCAAGCTATGGTGATATCCTTTCGTTAGCGGCTCCTCTTACGTCCATTGGAGCAGAGCCCTGTCCTAGACTAGACCCACGGTATGTCCAGCTTGTCGAACAGCTATTCAGCCTTGTCCTGGAGGGCACCCCTATGTACATCCCTTCTGGGAGTCTTTAAAGGTATGCATGCTCCTTGGTTTGCACCAGCTCCCAAACACTCTTCTGTTTTCTTCCCAATGACTTGCTAACCTGTACTTATGCACTCCCTGCCAGGGACACAATCACCAGAGCTCTCTAGGAAGTCCGGGGGTGCTACATCTAGAGCCCTATGCTATCCTACCAGTCTCTTGAGAACGCTGTAACTTAGTGCTATGGCACAATGCTATGTACCATCCAGCGAATATTTCATCGCTAATACCAGCACATGTGCAGCTAGAAGCCCATGCCTCATTCCATCCACCTAGAGTCTCGGTCTCCAATATGTTGTTTAGCAATGTTAGCCTCCTATGCTATTCTAGCATGTGTGTTGTTAATTACCTATGTGTGTACCTTTGGCTGTGTGTATTCTCGCATATGTACTGTCCAATGGCCTTATTTGCCACCTTGAGATAAATGTGTGTGTTGGGTGTTTGTGATGGCATGTATTCCATATTGGAACGGCAGTACCGTTCCCTAATCCAGATATATTATCTGGTAATATGCCCAGCCACATTGAAGCCTGGCCAATGACAGCTCATTTTAGTGGTCCTCTAATCAGTTGTTTACAAATACAAGCAAGCGGACAACTAAATTAACGCCGACTGAAACACTCTCAATACACCCACGCCAAAAACCTTTATCAGAACACCACTTACCTTGTGTGCTAATAACCACTGTGATCTAAGAGGTGCAGGTCCTAATGCCTTGCAAGTAACAAGCATAGGAACAAGAACAAACCCAGAAAACTATGTTTGCCAGCAAATAAAACAAACTATAGAATCCTGAAATGATGTGTGTATGCATTTACTATCTGAGAAGAGAATCTAGCACAACCACATCAGTAGGTTCAGGGTCCAGTCGGTGCTTACAAAACATCAAGATATGGTCCCCTCCGTTTTTTAACTTCGTACTTCAGTAATTGGCTAGCCAGGTAGCAGTACACTGGCCTGTCTCTGAACGCGCGTTTAAAAACACACCCTCTGTCCCGTTCATCTCCACTCAACACCACCGCTCTGCCCTCGCTCAAGTTTCTTGCACGCTGCAGGTGGTGAGCTATGCCCGCAGCAGCCACGCCAACCAGCAACGTAGCACCAGTTAAGAGGGGACGTTCCCAACAGCACCGCGGAGGGCATCTCGCTACGGTGCCAACAATGTCCAACCGCCGTCGCCCACAGAAGGGCCTAGGCTGGACGGGCATACGAGAGCAGAGTTGGGGCAGCTGGGCTACGGAGATCCGCATCCCACACACCCGACTCAGGCTCTGGATCGGCAGGTTTAGGCATGCCCTTGAGGCGGCTCTGGCGTATGATGCCGCCATGTTCTGCTTTTATGGTGAGTGCCTCCCCAGACAACGCAAGTTCAACTTCCCGGCCGTCCAGCGCCCTGCCATCCCTGACCACCTTCGCATCCACCTCAACATAGCCACCATCAGGGTGATCGCTGCAGACTACGGCTAAAGGTGTGCTCCATTCCTCGCACCCCTCGTGTGCCCCGAGGTACCAGGAGTGCTGCCGGCACCACCTCTGGTGGCGACAGTGCCAGGTACTGATGGTGCTGCTGCCACCGCCGGCATTGAGGCAGCCACCCTAACTAACGACCATCGTGGGAACAACAAGAAGCATTTTTTCTAGCTGCTTAGGCAATGAACAATTGTTTTGAGAGGGACCACCCCTTGGATTTGTAGTTTCATTTTTGGTTAGAAATAGTTCTTCGTATGTTACACCCACTGTCCATTCTTGTGTTATGTCCAATCAAAATTAGTTGTGTGTGGTGTTAGGTCCAAAAGATCTATTTGTTGACTGTGATTGTGATCGCGCCTGGCGCTGGCAATTGAAGCCCTACCATAAACACCTATTGGAATGGCAAATACAAACATGCGCAGCGCCAAAATTCACCCAACAATTACTGACATGGGGCACGAAAACAGTCTATTTAGCTAGCGCTCTTGTAAAATTCCAAGCAAGAGGAACCAGAAACTTACATGAGCACCTATAGGCTGTGGCGAGCACTGCTGCGGTCGTAGGCGTGGCCTTCCCCTTTGAGCCTCCCTGCACAGCAGCCGCCGGTTAGCGTTGCCTCCGTGTGTCACACCGTCACAATCCCTAGCTTCAATATGCAACCACAGCAGCCGGTTCTTACCTCCATGTGGAACCGCCGCCGCCGATCGTGGCTGGCTCGCCACACACGACCGCGCTGGGGAGCCACCACGTCGATATAGGCCGTGCGCTCTTGTTTGCCAGCTCACTCTTGTTCTTGTATATTCAACTGGCAGTTCACAAATTCCCCTTTTTCAAAATGTTTGACACATAAAGTGCAAATTAACATATTCTCATATACAGCACCTGAGCAATTTTGTGGATACATTTGTCGCGAGATGTTGATTTTCAAAAACATCGACGAATCTTGCTTGCAGCATGGTAGTTTTCCCACAGTTTGTATAGCCTTGTCCTTGAGACGCACACCGAAACTGAGCGCTTTGCTTGACCTCACATTCAAAGATCAAATTGTTAAATACGCACAGGCACTCATTGTTCTGTTAGTATATGCACTGTAACCTGCTAAATCCTGTTTTCACAATGCAACCAATTTTGTCCATTTTAGGATTCTACATTTAGGCAAGTTTGCAGCAATAAAAATTCAGAACAAACCATAGGATGCAACATGAAAATTCAGTTGTAGGCTTCATGTCTCCTGTCCTAATGAATTATTGTAGATAAGATAATGCTACGCTGCAGGATATACAACAGTTTAGGAACTTAGTTTTGATGGTTGAGGTACAAACCAAATTCGATTCAAGAGTAAGCGGTCCCTACTTGCTAACCCAAAGCAGAAAACCCTACCATATAGAAATGAACAGCAATTGGAACCACATTTGAGAGTTGGTAGTGGAGGTGCATTGTGCTGATGCCAAGGTAATAGCTGTTACCTTGTCTTTATAAAGTTTGTGTTCCATGTCTTTTAGGGGCTGCTGATTTTGGTCCTGTCATTTCTTTTAAAATCTCTAGGTGACCACTTTATCAGTTTTTTAGCAGGTGCATGTGTGTGTCTCTGGATCTATGTATGACTCTTTCTTTTCCTTTTAATGAAATGATACACAGTCCTCCTGCGTGTTCGAGAAAGAAATGTATGCTCCACCCTATAAATTGGAAGCCGTAGAAATTTAGGTGTAAAATTGGAAGCTGTATAGGTTATCTGCTATCCTAATTGAACATATAGCTGCATTCACCAACCATGTTATTAGGTCAACAAGGCCCAGCATTAAGCCGATCGCCATATTACATGAGTTCATTGGTGAAGTGCCACATTACAAGGATATCTCCCTCTCATAGACAAACAGTCAGCTCAAACTGAAAACTTCAGCATCCAAGTGAGCCGGCCAATCCACTAACACCACCATCCCACTGGAAACGCTAATACACTATCCTCGGTACCATATCTAAGACACTAGGGATCCAAGCGCAGTTATGGACAACGTCTGACATGATCAATCCAAACCTAGCCAATTCACCCTATTGAGTAGAGGTGTAGGCGAATCACAAACAAGGGCGAGGGTAGTCAGTAGCTCGGTACCTTATTCGTGTTCGCATCCGAGAACTCCCATTTCATGTCCGGCTTGTTCTCCGGCGAATCAAGGTCCTGCAACAACAATAGAAAACGTCAACTCAGCTGAGCTATCAACCACCAAATAGATCAAGAAAACGCGGGGGGAACGCATCCGAGAAGTGCTCACGTAGTTAGGAGCCGTGGAGAAGGCCCTGGTGCTGGAGACAGAGCCCCCAGAGGTGGCGGCGATCTGGAAGGAACGTTTCCCGCAGAGGACATCAGACGATTAGTCTGGGGAAATAGTGGGGGTAGGGTTTGGGAAAGAAGAGGGCTAACCGGAGACGAGGCTAGACGACGGCCGATTACTTCCGACCCAGACGCGGAAGCGAGGCCGAGGAGGCAGCGGGCCACGAGGCGTGCGGCCGGTGCCACCATGGTGGCGTGCACGACGGCGGAGACGACGGAGCGGGTGGTGCTGGAGGCATCGGCGTGTGGCCGCCTTGCGAAGCCTGCGAGATTGGGAGAAGATGCGGCCCGTCTTTCACTCGCGTTACGTCGCTAAGACAGGAACCCTACAAGCCCAATGGGCCAGACCTAGCTTTCCGGGCCCATTTTTTTGTTGGGCTTAGAGGTTGTTCCGTGACAAACCGCTAACGTAGCCAGGAGCCCTCTGGTTCTACCGGCCGAACTTTCCAGTGCTTTTTCTCAGTGCTAAAAATCGTCTGGCCGTCTCGCTAAAGAGGTTAAGGCATTTGCCACTTAGTTGTACTCTCTCTCTACTTGAAACACTTCAAATCTCTTACAACAAGTACATCACCCGCGACGAAGCGCGAGAAGCAGTGGTTGGGGTTGGTGGACACATTTAATGTCTCTCCTCCTTACCATCAGATAAAAACGATTCACCGACCAAGCAGTACTATTTGTAATAGTACCTAAGTAATATGAACTCGTAGGGACGTTGTGGTAGTTTCTAAGTAATATGCAGGACCATGCAGGACCATTTAAACTGCTACGATTTAGGACACATGCTTGGCCATGTTGCTCCCAAGATGGTCGGTGGTTGGGGTTGATCGCCATTACTACATCTACCATAATGGCTTTGTGCTTAGCGTCGCTTGCGGTTACGCCTACCATGACCCAAGTCTCCCCGCGCTTTTTTTTGCCCTCTTGTCGGAACCTTGCCTTGCAGCCGTATTAGTCCTTAATGGCCGGTACACTGTACTCCGTAGAGGTGAACACACGAACGTGCGCATCAATGGAACTATATACTTATATGTATGCAATGATGAGGCCCAGTAAGTGCCAGCACGCTGGCACAAAGAACAAAATCTTGTAGATTCTACTACATACCTAGGTGGTTAGTTGAGGTGTAGCCACGTAGTACGTGCATTATTGTGTCGTATTGTTAGTAGACACGCCATCCTTAGGTGCCACACATGTCATTGTGTGCATGGCCTACGCGTGCTTGTTACAGAATTAGGTCCGCACTGTACCTTCGTGGTCCGCGTTCACACGTGAGTAACGTCAGTAGTGACCCACGTCCCCTCGTACCCCTTTTCTGCACTCTTGTCGGACCCTTGCCCTGCAATCGTACTACTCAGTAATGGCACCGCACGTCACTCACCTCGAACACATGAAATTTGGTCAATTTGGTCGTAGTGATCCCACGTAAGAACCCTGGTGAACCGCGCTAAGACCACAGACCGCTCTGCCTTTATAAGCAGAGCCTGGCTTAGCCGGTAGCACTCTTTTTTGTGTCGGAACCTTGGCTTACAACCGTATTAGTCATTAATAGCCTCAGACATCGCTCACCTCAAACGCGTAGGACGTGCATTAATGCATGGCCTGTTTGTGCATTGTTATGCCATATTACTAGCAGCTACACCATCCATAGGTGTCACGCGTGCCGTAGTCTGCATGGCCTACTCGTGCTTGTTACATAGTTAGGTCTACACTGTGGCTTTGTGCTCCGCGCTCGCCCATGAGCCACGTCAATAGTGACCCATGTCTCCTTGTACCCCTTTTCTGCACTCTTGTCGGACCCTTGCCCTACAGTCGTACTACTCAGTAATGGCACCACATGTCGCTCGCCTCGAACGTGCGAAATCTGGTCGATTCGTTCGTAGTGATCCCGCGCAAGAACCCTAGTGAACCACGCCAGGACCACAGACCACTCGGCCTTTATAAGCAAAGCCTGCCTTGGCCATTGGTACCACCACTCGTCGCACTTTAGCTCGCTTAGGTTTTCTCTTTGAGCAAGCTTTTTACTCGGTCCTTCTTTGTAGCCACGACCAGAAATGGCAGGAACCTAGGTTAGTAGTTACTGCCTAAACGTTGAGGGTTTTCCTAGAATTCTGCACGCCACCCTGCAAAAGCTTGGAGTCAAATATCGTCCCGAGTATGAGGGCCGTGAGTATCAGAAACATGGCACCGATCGGTGTGAGGTTACCGTTTACATTGGGAAGAGTGAAGAGTTCCCCGACATCACCGAAGCCTAGAGTGTGACCGCAACCAGATTTAGCTTCACCGACACCTACCAGGTTGTGGCCCGCAAAACATTGCGGTACCTTTGCCAGCTCTATGAAGAGCCCGTTGCCCGTACCCCCATGAAATTCTTTCCACCCTTGGATAGGAATCGGCGGCCATAGATGGCTCGCATGGAGGCTTTGCAAGGGCGTGATGCGCAAGAAGATAGTCCTACCGTGGTGCACTTGACCACGTACCTGCTTGCTCTGGATGAGCAGTATGACCGGCAAGCCTTGGAGCTGAGGGCGTGCCTCTGGCGCGCCGAAGAAGCCGAGATCTTCACTCGGATGCTCCAGGTGCAGCTCGCTGAAGCGCATGCCAGTGCTGCAGCTGCTGAGAGCCGGGAGATTGCAATGTCAGAAGCTCTGAAGGAGGCCGAAGATCGGCATGTTCATCAACTGGGTGAGGCCTATTTGTTCACTAGGGCCAAGCGGAGGGCGCTGGTTGATGAAATGCGGGATGCCCCGATCTTGGAGGGGATCCCTATCCACCCAACTGAAACAAGGAGAACCGGTGATGTAGAACCGCCAGCGCCACCACCTTCGGAAGTGTTAGAAGCATAACCCTTTGTTCCTCTCACTCAGCCATTAGCGCGAGAAGTTGCAGATCCATATCCAGGACAGTAAAAGAATCCACCGAGCACAGGAATCAAGCTGCGTGGTTTCAAGGTGGATTAGTTGCCTTGGGATGCTCCTCTTGTCGTTGTTGTCATCCATAGTTATTGGATGCGTGTTGTAGATTCACCTAAAAAGAGTGAATCCTAATTCACTTTTTGTAAACCCTCCCGTTAGGGGAAGTATTTGTGTTTTAGTTTTCCTATTTTCGCCTATAATGTAATGCTATCCAATGTTGTACTTCAAATCTAAGTGCGTTAGTTGCTTGAACCCAACTTCATTAAATACTTCTTTCCACTAGAATAGGCACCATGTAATGACAACCAACATGACCAGCCTTAAGTACTGATACGATGAGAAAACATATTAGCAATATGATGTTTCCTATACCAAGCAAATCACCCGCAGCGAAGCGCGGGCAGCAATAGCTAGTATACTTAACACTACACCAACGTCATCCAAACTGTCATATGCTCATGGAAGGGGAGAGGGAGTAAATACGGAAATTGTTGTGTGCTTTTTATGTGTTTTTCGCAATCTTCTTTTGAAATCTATTTATGTTGTACTCTCTCCATCCCAGAAAATTGATGTTTGAGGATTCAAAATTCGTCGAAAAAAAATGTAGGGCATGTTTGGTTCTCGGTCTAGGATACGTGCCTGGACAAGGCAACGACTAGGCGATTTCGAACACCTGGGGTTGGATGCAGCTACCTAGGTGAGGGTGGCAACTAAACAACCTCTAGTGTTGTATTCCTTGGAATTTCACAAAAAAAAAGTTTTTGAAACTTTGGACATTTCACATTTGGTTGGACCCATATCAATATGAATTTTCAAACAGAGGAGGCAGCCAGAAGATCGGATCGGCACAGCTATCCGGCGAATTGCTCCAACCGCTGCCGACCGGCGCGCGCCCCCGAAGCAGGCAACCGCACGCTAGCCGTTGGACGCAACAACACAACACGCCTGCGCCGCAGCCCCGCGCGCGCACGGCGCACACGCAACTCGCCCGCACGCTTGCGCGCACACGCTTGTAACTCCCTGTCTCTCTCACGCTCCCGGCGTGAGTGAGTGACACACAGGCTTGCCGGCCGCGCGCCGGCTTATAGGAGCGCGCTAGGACGCAAAGGAATCTGCAGTCGAAGTGGCCAGGAAGCGCGGAGGAGGAAGACTGCAGGGATGCCTGCCGGACGAGCGGTCGCAATGGCGGCCATGGTGGCGGCGACGGCGGCGGCGCTGCCGCTGCTCGCGGATGGCGCGTACGCGGACTGCTACAACTACTGCTTCAACGACTGCATCTCCAAGGACAAGTCCATGAGAGACTACTGCAGCTACGCCTGCGACAAGACCTGCGCGCCCGACGGCGCGCTCTGGTGCCCCATCGCCGGACTCCCCATAAACAGCCAACTCGCCTGCGTCAGGGACTCCTGCCACCGTCGCCGTGAAGGTAATCTTTGCGCCATGTGTGTAGTGTGTAGTCTGTACACACACGGACACACCTTCATCGATTTGGGAGCGAGTTCAATTTGAGTAGGCATGTGTGTTAATTTATTTGTGCAATACTGCATGATCTGAAGACGGCAAGGATAACCGTACGTGTCGGTTTGCAGATGGCAACGACATGAAGGCCTGCTACGGGCAGTGCTACGACCGCTGCGAGACCAAGGCCGGGCTGCCGAGGCCTCTCCGCGCAGGCCGCGGCGCTGTCCGGCCGGCGGCGTTGCCGGACCACCCATTCCACGAGAAGCAGGACATGGTCCGGCCGGCGGCTTTGCCGGACCACCCATTCCACAAGAAGCAGGACGCTGTCTGGCCGGCGTCGTTGCCTGACCATCCATTCCACAAGAGGCAGGACGCTGTTCTGCCCGCGGCGTTGCCCGATCACCCGTTCCACAAGAAGCAGCAGGACGCTGTCTGGCCGGCGGCATTGCCCGATCACCCATTCCACAAGAAGCAGGACGCTGTTCGGCCGGCGGCGTTGCCGGACCACCCCTTCCACAAGATGCACGATGCGGTCAGGCCGTCAGGAGAGACGGATCCAGGACACGTCATCTCTCCGGCATGGGGCCCCATCCACCCCTAATCGTCGTTGGAGAGCGACGACGCTCCGCCGCTAACGGCGAATGCCACATGCATATGCTCGTGGCCGGCCCCCGTACGTTATTAAGCACTACTAGAGGAAGTGTGTGATGTGTCAGACGTACTACTACTGTATGCATGCCAATTCTCACGTTTAAGCATAATATGGGTATTATTAGTGTCAATTGATCGACGATGGTCATGTTCCAACAGACCCAGGAATGCCGACTGCAGAGTGGTGATAATAAGCATGCCAACTAAGCGAATGGGTGATCGGGCAATGCCGCCAATCGCCTGGGCTTATTCCCTCGTAAACGATCGTAAATTTTCAGCCGGAACAGTATTTTTCTCTCACACCAAACCAGCCAGCAGTACTTCTTCACGATCCAGCAACGAACAAGCCCAGCCAAACGAACAGGCTGTAAGACCTCGTTCGGTTATCCAGAAACGATTGCTCGGAACGATTCTAGCTGAAATGGTTCCTAATTTATATAACCTCGGTCAGCTGGAACGATTCATAGGTCCAATCCACCCTAAGCGAATGAGGCCTAACTCATGTTAGAACAGGCCCAGGAATGCCGACTGCAGAGCTTTGTTGTGGAAGTGCACCAAGGGTGCAAGTGGCGATACTAAGCGTTCCAACTAACTCATCTCCTGGTTGGCTGGTTCACGTGTCTTATAAATTCTTCTAAAATGTAGAGATATGGTCTTCGAAACATATTCACTGAACCGGTTACGAATTCTTTGTGAACAAAGGCATTATGTGAAACTGCTGCGTTTGCCCTGAGAATCTAACCATCATCTGTTATTATGTAATGTCAGCTGAGGAGGAAAGAGGGGCACCTCTGTTTTTTTTTTTTGTAAAAGGGGCACCCCTGTGCTGTGAGCATCACTCATGGAGCGAGCTCTTTCTATGTCGTCTATGGATCTCCCCCTCCCCGTTCCACATCCAAATCTAGGCGGGACTTCCATTACTATAGAAATTATTTTTAGAGACATCTTCATTTTTTGGTAGATGGCTCCATCAAAATCCACGTTTAAAAATGTTTTTTTTTGAGTTGATCCGTCTCTATAAATCTATTTTTAGAGGCGGTTGGCTATCTAGTCACATTTAGAAATAGAGGCATTTCTAGAAGAGGCCGAAAATTCCACCTGTTTCTAGTAATGGATTTCAGTTGACAATTTGGTCCGCTTCTAAAAATAGGCGTACAACAGTAAAACTAATAACTTTTTAAAATAATTTGGATGAAGACAAACTTTATATCAAAGTTACAGTAATCAAGGAGATCTACAACTTTGTTGTTGACGACTTTTCCATTTGAAATCATTTCAGGCCCGAAAATTGTGTTTTTAAATTTTCATAATTTGAAATTCAATATTTTAAGATTTTTCAAATGACCTCGAATAGGGAAACAACCTAAACTAAATCTACATCACTCTAAGAGATCTGCAACTTTGTAGTTCTTCATTTGAAATCATTTAGTGCCTAAAAATTCTATTTTTAAGTTTTTAGATTTTGAACTTCATTTTTTTTAAAGTACCTCAGATGGAGAAGCGAACTAAATCAAAGTTGTAGCACTCCAAGAGATGAAACTTTGTAGTTGACAAAATTTTCATTTGAAATCATTTAGGGCTCAGGATTCTGTTTTAAGATTGATACTTTTGAAATTTCTATTTTCTTGAGTTATTCAAATGACCTCAGATTGAGAAATGAATGAAATCAAAGTTGTAGTGCTCGAGACCTAAAACATTCCATCTCAAACTTTTTCACTTGAATTTGTTTAGCATCTCAAATATACATTACAATATTTGCTAAAGTGAATTATGTCACTAAGTTCTAAATAACTTTGAGGCCTAGTGACAAGGATGCAATGCACAAGGCTAGAGGTCCTGAGTTCGATCCATTGTGGGCTGCGTAGGTGTGCGAGAATCACGTGACCTTTGACGTGGGGCCAAGGCTGGCTGGCTAGCCAGCTTCTCCTAGGTTTTTTAAATTGCTATTTTTGGCCCAATTTACAAATTCTAAAAAATAATTTCTATAGGCGGTTGAGTTTAGGCCCACCTCTAGAGATCAACTTCAAGTGGCAACTAGACACCTGCCTAATTTCTAGAGATAAGCTGGTAATATCCTCCTCTATAAATAGTTTCTAGTTGCCTTTATAAATGTTCCTATAGTAGTGTCACCCTCGATGGTCATTTAGTCCAGGCTATTACACTAGGTCTGGCTCCGAGCTACACCAGTGTAATGGCCTGGCCTATCAGTGTTCTAGTTTTGGTGTATTGTGGCCTATGTGTCATAGTCTTGTGAAACTAGTCCCACTCTAATTGTTTAAATAAGTTTGGGCTAGCTTATAGTACTTGTGGTTCCAAATGTAGCACTTTCTAGTTAACCCTTTTACATGAAGTGAGCACGAAAGCATAATATAAATTCTATGCTTATATGGGCTTGTTCCACATGAGAAACTAGGCCATAGGCAGATTTGGACATAGTGTTATATATGGTATCCAGATTCAGCACCTTTGGGTTGCATGTGTGCATTCGTATTCTGGTTTTGGTCTGTTGTGGTCGTGTCATATTCTGGTGGAATTAGTCCCACCTTGGTTGCTTTAATATGTTTCAGCTAGCTTATAATCCTTGTCATTTCAAATGTAGTGATGAGAGTCTAACATAGGGGTATATTAAGCCCTCGTATATATTAAGGGCACGATAGTCCGATTAACACCCCCCGACTGATTCTCCAAAGCCCTCGAATTAAGACGAGCCTTGGCTGATTAGGAGAATCGGTCAAGGGGTTAGCCAGATTGTCATCCCCTTAATTCGAGGGTTTAACAACTCTCGTCAAAACCCTATAACCCAAATCAGTATGCCTACTATGAACCTCTTAATCAGTATGCTTGTTGTAACCCTAATCAATATGCCTGCTATGACCAAAGAACTTGAGTATTGACTGTAGCTCTCACAATCTTTGCATGAACACCACGTAGCAAACTTGTCTCACCTCAACATATCCGCCTTTGCTGATTAGATGAACGACTTTATACCACACAAGTAATCATCACAAGTGTGGCTTTGAAGAAACATTCAGCTCCTGTCATCCATCTAAAATAATTTGTAGGGTACACCATAATCAATGATTAGACTAGGAATTTATTTACCTAGATAGGAAAAGAGATAACCCTTACCTTGTTATTCATTGAGATGAGCCCAAAGATGAGAGCTTTAGAGGGGGTCACAGAAAAGGAGATAGGAGAGGTCGACGTCCCTATAGAGTGGAGTTTAGCAACAAGATAATAAGAGAAGTAATTAACATCATTGGATTGTTGGGCTATGTTAGTAACATCTTGAGAAATGATGCAATAACACCTAAACTCCATTGATGAGATAAAGAGATGAAATAGTAAAAGATTACCTTCCATAGTTAGATGAAATATCCTCTCCACTAAAACGCTCTAGTCTCATGCAATAAGAAGTTGCAAGAGCCTTTGATCATCCAGCAACAATTGAAATATATAGAAAATAGGGTTTTTTCTTAGATGCTTGCAAGGAGTGAACTTTGCGCAGCATGTCTGACTCACCGTATACATGATGAGTGACCTTGTGCCCTGATTCAATCATGGAATTTTGATATGGCCGGAGCTCATAGTAGGTCTAGATTTATCTAACCATGGCACATGGTGGTTGGCCGGCTATGGCGCCACACATGGCGGATCGTGTGGTGCCACTATTTGGGGGCTATGGGCACTGTTCACCTAAACGGTCATTTAGTCCATTTATACACCATTTAAACGCTACACAGTGGTACACCATTTCCGTGGTTAAACAACTGTTTTGCCCGAATAATGGGGCCAAACGGCAGGTGACCAATTGATTACCGTTTAGCGTTTAGGATAACATTGGCTATGGGAGAGCTTAATTTGGGGCTAGCCTAGGATTGAGGGAAGGATGGTGCGGTGGCAGAGAGGAGACGATCGTGTAGATGGTGGAAGCGACAGCACAAAGGGGACGATTGTGTGGACAAGCGGACAACGGTGACAACGCCAGAATGGTGCCAAAACAGCTTGTGAGCTCGGCAAGGCATGAGTGGAAAGATCATTTACTGCCCAAAATCTGCCACATCAGAGTCTGGTCCCTTGAAGCATGGAAGTGGATTTCAGCACAATAAAGACTCAAGTTGATAGAGGCAGGTATGTGATGAGGAAAGATGTCCGAGATGGAGATTAAAGGGCTCCATTTATGAGGTGGTTGCCTCTAATCAGAGAAGTGGGTATGTGATGATAAACCATATCAAAGACGGGGATAGACGGATTGTCTCTAATGTGATGCCCCACATCAAAGACGAGTCTTGTCTCAGACAAGTTGACCTCTCACTAGAGACTCTAATGAGAGGCGACCTCAGACCTATCTCTGCTGGAACTAATATAGATTAGAGATGTGTACGGTTGATTTCTTATTATAATTAGCCATCAGAGACATGCATTGTTGATCTATCTCCGAGTCTTCTTTATGTGTTTCTGGCATAGTGAGTCTCATGAATTGACAAGGCTGCAACTTTATTTACTCATAGGTGTCTGTATTGTGTTGATGACTATTTTGGATTGAATCAAGACTGGTTCTTACCCCCTTATACTGAAGTTATTAGCATCACTCACAATCAACGAAACACAAAACAAAATTAAGGACAACCAATGCACCATCAAATTAATAACTTTACAAAAAAAATCAAGAAAAAACAAGCTAATGTATGATAGGCGAGTATGTGGCATGGATTAAATGGTATTAACATCTTAACTATTACTACTTGTCGTCGGAGAAGGATCAAGTTAGACGATTAGTGTTGTGTTCTACAATTTTATGAACGCACTTATAGTTTTAACATCTCATTTATGGTTTTCAATTCTTATACATGAGCTTTTGATCGAATAGTTTCATTTCTAACATTATCAAAATGCTGAGGCCATACTTATTTTTTATAATATCGCGTCGTTTTGGTTTCAGGGTAAAAAATGTGAAAGAGAAAGCGATTTACCATCCACTGACCATTTTCGATTGTTTCACGCGCTAATAGAAGCAATCCACTGGAATTTGACACCTAAGCCAAAATTAACTATATGTTACATTTTATAGAACTAGATGTGGCTACTAGTATATACCCGTTGGGTACTGTCATCGCATACCCTTACCCACTAACAAAATTCTATGCGCTAAAATACCCATTACCTACACACAAGTAAAAGAATTTACACATATCCACATGGGTAAAAAATAGTCGATGGGTAACCTGCGCCGAAATACATATCCGCTATAGACAACAAGAATCATGAATATATCATATGATTAAGATCATATATTGGAAAACATTTGTAAATAAAATTCAATAATGATAATATAGCAGCAAAACTTTACCAACTAATAATAAGTCAAAGATATATTGGATACTAGAAGCATACCCTGCACGTTACTATAGGAATTGCGAATGATTTAGAATGAAATTAGTCTATATATAATTACTCATACGAAGAAATAAACTGTTATAAATTAATGCTAGTGGATTGCATGGCACATTGACGTGGACAACAAAATGCTTGTGTCTTGTGGACGTGGACATCACAATACATGTGCTAGTGGGTTTTAATTGTATGTGATAGTGCATTGCTGAGGTAGACATCTTGCATGTTGAGATATATCTCTAGTGGGGTTGTTTAGGATTATAAGAGATATAGATAGATAGATATGTATATTTCATAGTTGGGTTGGGCCGCAAGTGTGTTTTGGGCTACATCTGGGAGGTAGGGCATGTTTGGATCTGATTGGAGTATAGTAATCTAGATTACGGATGACACTATAATAATCTAGATTATGGATTATGATAACCTAGAATATTTGGATCATATCCCTTTGATTATAGAGGTGTATTTATTGTTAGTTGGAGTACAAATGACCTATAATCTAGAAAACAGGTTGGTAGAGATTAGATTATTACAATCAAGTGGTTGAATTATTATAACCCAATCCATAATCTAGGGTGTTTGCATCACCTCCAGATTATTGTTAGTTGGATCCAAACACCCCATTGATGGCACATGTGTGGACACGTATAAAATACCTGCAGCTATATGTGTAAGCAGTATATATATGTACTCATACTACACCCGCTCTACCGGACGGGTAGAGGTTTATGCCCATTAACATATCTCTAGATAAAGATATATAGCTTATACCCACCACTTTATTGCATAAATCCATTATTATATACTCAAGTTTCGAATAGCCATTGCCATCTCTATCAAGAACTGTAGTAAAATGTCAACGTGTTATCGTATCCCTATGCTCATGATTGTTAAAATGGCTGTTGCATGCATGTTTATCAGATAGATTACTTTGTACAAACCCAAGAAAAGGCTGAGACAAATTTCATAGTTCACAGATCAATAAACTTCCACAGTGTGATTGGCATGCATGCCGCATGCACATGGTGCTCCGACTGCAAATTTGGAGCACATGTAACACACCAGACCTCCATCCATGGTGATACGCCCCAAAAGACCGACCCAGGCCTGGTAATAAAAAGGGACCACGACCAAATGAGGAGACGACCCTGCCCAACGATCTCGCGGCGTGTGCACAAAGTCAGAGCGAATCGAGCCCTACACGTACACGCTCCACGCGGCTCCTCATCAGCGGCTGGGCTCTTGCTTGCTGGTTAAGTGGTCAGGGCTCTCCTAAACCGTCTGCCCTGTTCAATCGATCACCGTCTAGGAGTATCACCTAAATATGGCAACGCCGTATTTGTGCCAAATCAGTAGACAGGAGGCATGCATCTTTTTTTGTGTTTGGTGCCCAAGTCTAAGATGTAATAGTACTCTCTCCATTTTAAATTATAAGATTTTTTTGATATATTACTTTTACTATGTACCTTGATATAATATATATTTAAATCTATAGTAAAAATTACGTGTCTAGAAAAGTCAAAATGTTATATTTTAGAATTGATAGAGTATTCGATAGTAACTTAAGGAGATTGAGAAATGCCTCGTCGCGAAGCTCCCAACAAGGTAGGTTTTGACCCTTCGATTATTGCAATAGAAAGTAATTAGCTAAGGATTTAATTGGAGGATAAAGGCTTGGTTGGGTTGTGTAGAGTTTATAAAAGAAACTCCCAACTGATATAAAATAGCTCAGCTATCAATTTATATAGTGCCATGTTTTTACCACCATCCAACCGCCTACTAATAACTTACCAAAAGTTTCTTGGCAACTTTGATTTTTATATTCTCCGGTTGAGTACGTTTAGATCCACCTAACTAACTAGTATTATCTATGTTAGCTAAGAAAAAATAGCTGAAAGCTAATTGTTAGCTAGATGATAGATAAAAAATTAGCCAATTTATTAGTTGATGATCCAAATATGACCACAGATCATTTTTAGCAGCTAACTATTAGCTATATGGGATCGAAACATGCCCTAACAATATTTGTTTCAATATCTAGTCAAGTAAAATGATAAATATGTCATTGGATTTTCTATCAAAATTACTTTTGAACATGTTTTTTTAAGAAGTTGTTTAACCAATTTGTTGTAGGGATCTTTTTTTACCTTTTTGTCAAATAAATGGAACAGGAAATTCATTTACAAGCTCTTCAAGGTACACTTATCCTTCTCTTGCTGTTGCAGTTGTACTATAGAAAAAGGAAGCCCGAACTCATAAAAAAGACGTCATCCGACGTGTTGGAGTGAACTCCAACTCATGGTTGGCTCGTAAAAGGTGGGTAGCGACGACTCTACCTGCTGCTGGCTGAGAAGGTTCGGTGCACGTTGTATGTCGTTGGTGCCAACGTGAACGCCTACTCCGGCGCAAGACGTGGGTTATATATTCATCGTAGCATTAAATAATTATTTTAAAAAGGTTTGAATAATCCATTGTGCTAAAAAAATAAGTACGGAGTACTATACTCCTACAGTACATTTTGTGGATCGAACAGGTGAAATGGAATGAAAATAAATAAAAAAGGTGAGCTGGCCGTGGAAAGAGCCGATGGAATTCCATCCATCCATCCAGCTAGCGAGATGCCCGGGCGGTGCGCAATTCCAGGCAATCTGCTCCCTCCCTCCCTGCGAATGCGTGTGAATCCTCCTGTCTTTCCGTGTGCTCCATGTCAACCTCGTCGCGCGTCCCAACGCAGCTCTGCTCTGCTCTGCCGGCTGCAGATGAATGTTGCCGTTGCCTAGCCAACCAGGACTCGAGATGGCTTCCGTTCCGTTCGCCTGCCAGCTGGCAGCTGCTGTCTACTACAGCTGACACTGCCAGTAGAGCACTTTTGGCAGCTTGCGTGGCTCAAGATTCTGCCGTGTTCAAAGTTCAAACCAATCTCAGCTGGCCTTTATTAAATTCTAACTGTTTTGTTGCCGCCTTACGCGCATGTACTGAAGCAAAGAAAATTCAAACGTGAAACGTGCCACTCGACGAACCATACTGGTAATGCGAGTACTGAAGCAAACATCTGAAGGATTCGAATGATAATTTGTAGTAAATCCTATATCATGTATGTATACTCCATATCTTAATCCAAATGTGTACCGATTACAACTCTCGGCGTCTGCTTCTCTATACCCATTATATTCATTCACAATGCAGAATTTGCAGCGGATCGGAACCAAATCAATCATCAGCAGCAGCAGGAAAAAGATTCAAGAAGAAAATTTTAAATACAATAGGAGGAAACGAAACGAAGGATTAATTCAGTAACGTTTAATTTTCTTTTTACCACAACGAATTAAAACAATGTATGATCACAAGGAACGGAAAATCTCCCCGAAAAGAATCATTTCTTTACGGTCTCCAACCGGCCGCCGGCGGTGGCGGCGACGAGTAATCGTACACAGGCAGCTTGGGCAATGCCCGTGGCGGCGGAGGTGACGAGTAGTCGTACTTGGGCAAGCTAGCCGGGGCTGGCGGCGGCGGCGGCGAGAGGTACCGGTCCTCCGGAGACACCTCGTGGTAGGGTGGAGGTGGCGGGTCGTGGTGGACTGGAGGTGGCGGCGGTGGCGACTCGTGGTGTGGTGGTGGAGGTGGCGAGAGGTACCGGTCCACCGGTGACACCTCGTAGTAGGGCGGCGGTGGGACCTCAGTGTAGGCCGGAGGCGGCGGGGAGAGGTACCGTTCCTCCGGTGACACCTCGTAGTAGGGAGGTGGCGGTGATGGGGATGGTGGAGGTGGAGACGGCGGTGGGGGAGAAGGAGGAGGAGGGGATGGCGATGGGGGTGGAGGAGACGGAGGAGGAGGTGAAGGTGGCGGAGGAGATGGTGGAGGAGGCGAAGGCGGGGGAGGGGATGGTGATGGCGGAGGAGGAGATGGTGGCGGAGGCGAAGGCGGTGGTGGAGACGGCGACGGTGGAGGTGGTGATGGCGGAGGAGGAGGCGGTGGCGGCAGGGGTGGCGACGGCAGGACGAACTTCTTGCACTTGAAGGCATCGCAGTTGACGTGGTGGTTGTTGAAGAAGCTGCACTGCTCCGGCGACCTCTGGTCGGGGCGGTAGGGAATGCAGTTCCGGTGGTCGTCGAGGGTCTTAACGTGCAGGCAGGCGGGCGGCTCGCCGGTGATGAAGTTGTAGGAATAGGTGAAGTTCTGGAGGTGCGGCAGGCGGCAGATCCCCTCCGGCACGTCCCCGACGAGGCGGTTGTGGCCGAGGTCGAGCTGCTCGACGCTGTGGAGGCTCGCGAGCTCGTCGGGGATGGCGCCCATGAGCTTGTTGAAGCTGAGGTCGAGCACGGTGAGGCCCGTGAGCGCGCCGAGCTCCGGCGGGACGCAGGACTTGAGCCCCGTGTTCATGAGGATGATCTCGTTGAGCGTGTCCGACATGTTGGCGACGGAGGCCGGGAGGCAGCCGCCGAAGTCGTTGTTGGCGAGCACGAGCACGGAGGCCGGCGAGTTGCCGACGTTGTCGGGGATCTGGAAGCGGAAGCGGTTGGAGTTGATGAAGATGGCGTCGAGCGGGCGGTCGAAGAGCTCGCTGGGCACGGGGCCCTCGAAGTCGTTGAAGCGGAGGTCGAGGTACCTCAGGCTGGGCAGGCGGAGCACGACGTCGGGGAACGCGCCGACGAGGTGGTTGTTGCTGAGGTCGAGCTCGTGGAGCGCGTGCAGCCGGTCGAGCGACCGGGGCACGAGGCCGCAGAAGCGGTTGGAGTTGAGGTGGAGCACGGCGAGGTCGGCCAGCCGGCCCAGCGCCTCGGGCAGGTGTCCGGCGAGGTCGGCGTGGTTGAGGTCGACGGAGGCGACGACGGTGAGGCCCGGGTCCTGCGGCGACGGGGCGCAGTAGACGCCGCCGTAGGCGCACACGTCGGGCCCCGTCCACGAGCCCGTCACGTTGTGCGGGTCGGAGAGGATGGCGCGCCGCCACGCCTGCAGCGCCACGTACGCGTCGAAGAGCCGCGAGTTCGGGAACGCGTACGAGGGGTCCACCACCACGTCGCTGCCATCGTCGGCGCCGCCGGCGTTGTGGTACTGCAGGAGCTGGCGCCGCCTGATGTGCGCGGCGTCGGACGCGCTGAGGCCCCGGCTGGCGAACGCCGCCGCCGCTGGTGTGGCGAGGAGGTGCGGCGCGAGCAGGAGGAAGACCAGGAGGATGGGCAGGGTCGTGTTGCGCGGTGGCGTCGTCATCGCGGCGCGCGCATTGGGAGTGGCGCGGCGGAGTGGATTGGGAAGCCGGAGGGAGGGGAGCGGCTATATGATATCGCGGCGCGGCGCGGCGCCGGGGGAGGCGCGCGGGATTGGGAATAGAATATTGCGGTGCCGGTGCGGGGTGGAGTCTGGAGGGGATGGACGGACGGCTGCGATGGAGGGTGGGTTGGATGCGTGTCCGCGTGATCGGCGGCCAGCGTTCAGCTATTGACTGGCGTCCGCCGGAGATTGAGCTGGGTGTTCTGAACGGAACCAGCGAATGATTGGCGCCCACCTTTGATTGGGCGAATGCATGCTGCAACTGTTCTTCTTCTTCTTGTTTATTTATTTATTTATTTATTTTGAAAAGGAGTGCAGCTGTTCAGGGCGAATAAAGGACAGACTACAAGAACAGACTACAACTGTTCGGGGGAGTCTATCTTGCACTAGTTCATGGTGCCCATCATCTGGTTTCTCGCTGGATCTATTGGATACTTGCACGGTGTTCTCTTGGAAACGAAAGAATCACATTCAGCAGCGGAATATGCATTGTGGGGATGCACGGTTTTGCTGGACCGGTGGTACACCGAAAGCAAAGCTGGAGTGCGAGCGATCACCATCGACGACGTGCAGGCAACCATCGATCTCATCTGCTGATTTTCATGCATTCCAGTCTTGCTCACGCGCTTAGTGGGAATCCACCCCTCTATGCTTTAGTTTCCTCAATCAACTAATTTCTCTCTCCAAATTTCGAATACAATAATTTCCAAAAAATCAATCAGGCTACCAATACTTGATCAGGTTCATTTCCGCCGGCCAGCTCAACATGATCATTAGCTGTGGAATGCTGCTGCTTGGTTTGAACACTGCAGTTTTAATTTCCTTCTTTTTTTGGTGTTGTCGTCGACGGATGGATTTTAGCAGCATACTCTAGGAGTATTTGATTTATCGTAGGGTCCACCAATCTAACGCGTTAAGCTGTTTCGCCCATTATTTCAGTTCAGCCTGTCCCGCCTTGAAACACGGGATGGATGGGAGGCGCTTTCCGTTACACAGCCAGCCTATCTCGTGCCTGCTCTCATTGCTCAAGAGCTTGCTTGATTACCAGGTATGGTTGCCAAATGCTCAACGGCTCGTACGAGTATAGGAGGGGCTCTTTAGGGGCTCTTTAGATGCATTTAGAGTGACCAAGCTTTTGGTCCTAATCTTTTGCTGAAATTTTTTTTGGCATTCAAACTTTACGTATGGGTGTTTAGATGCATAGTAAAACTTTAGCACTATACCAAATAAAGACTGATTTGTCTCCATTTAATGCATGATTTAATTCATTAATTGTCATCCATGCAAAGCCATACATGCTGCATGCTGGGCTTGCTGTTGCTGCTAGCACTTGTGTTTACAAACAATCAAATATTACACTTTATTGCATAATTATTGAATAGTTCAAGTACACAACTCAATTCAGCCCGATCGGCTGGGGCTGGCTGGCCAACCCCCTCACATGGATACTATTCACATGAACCAGCCAACAGTACTTCTCTCTCACATAAACGAATCAGCAACGATACGAACCAGCCAACCGAACAGGCCGATTGTCCTCAACCATATAAATCACTCACACACGTTATATTTGAAGTACACCATTCCAATTGTCATGATCGATTTAACAAACCAAGGGCAGTTGAGTCACGGAAAGAATTCATCATTGCAGATTCATCCCTTGCCGGCGTTTGACGAGTACGTGGCTGAGAGGCCGATGCTTCAGGTGAAGTGGGTGGGTGTGGGGTAGTGGGCGTCTGGCTCGCCGCCAACCCCCCCCCCCCCTACGTTTTTGTCTAGTTTTGGGCCTCTTAGCTCTTAAGGCCCCGTTCACTGATCTAAAACTTGGCTGAAATTGGCTGAAAAACACTGTTTCGGCTGAATTGTTGTGAGAGAAGAACACTGTTCCGGCTGAAAAAAGAAGCCGAATAAGCTGAATATGAGGTAAGCCAAACAGGGCCTAAACGCCAAAAGTTTTGCAAGCCAAGTTTCGCTGTTTTTTGTCCATGGTGTTTAGATTCATTTTGCAAAAAAAAAAAGATAAAACACTAAAAGTTTTGGTAAAAATGGGGAACTAAACCGACCTGAGTGCATGTTTTTTTTTTTTGCTGTAATCGGCGTCACGCATGGATTCACGGATGCTGCTGGCTACGTTTACCACTACTGATCGACACTAGTCCACGCGGTGTTGATTGTTGCCAATTATACTAGTAACAACCAAGAAATTTAAACATGTTTATTGGCAAGGAATGGAATGGAGCACACGGCAGATATCCAGATACTACCATACATACACCTTTGAATTTTGATGCTGCCGGTGGTGTGGTGATGATTGGGAGGAGTAATAATAGTAGTACTAAGCGAATAACAACAAGGATTGCGATGATTTGGTTTCGCGACTTCAAGTCGTTCCTCGGCCTGCTGTGCTGCATGTGAGTGGGGCCCGGTGTTCCCATCTTCCATTCCATGTGGTCGTGTTTCTGTTCTTCTCAACACTCAAGCCGTCGTCAAGCGAGAAGCGGCCAAATTAGGCCCCCAAAACCTAAAAAATTTTGCACAGTACTTGTCACATCGAATCTTGCGGTATATGCATGGAGTATTAAATGTAGACGAAAAAAAACTAATTACACAGTTGACCGAAAATCGTGAGACGAATCTTTTAAGCCTAAATAGTCCATAATTGAACAATTTTTGCCAAATACAAACGAAAGTGCTACAGTAGCCAAAAGCCAAAAAATTTCGGAACTAAACACGCCCTTACAATGTGTAGCTAACGCCATCAAACATCCCCCTTCCCCGCGTCGTTGCTGGCGATTCAGGTCAGTTCAGTTCAGGTGTGCCGTTTCGGGCTTTGGGCGCATATCTGAGGGCATGGACTACCAACATTTCTGCCAACCAGAAATGCATCGATTCCCTTAGCAATTCCATACTGACTAGGGGCGCCTCGATCTCGGGTTAGGGATTAGAGACGGGAATGAGGAACGGTTCGGGATAGGGGCGGATGCTCGAGACTCTAGTCATTTTTTTAAGAGCAATCTTGTCCATGCGGATATACGGTACCCCTACATACGTCCGATCCGACAGTGGACCCAATTTATCTACAGACGTACATAATGGCGTATCAAACATATGATAGTGGCATAGTTCCTTGAACAGTAATGGTGCTTCTAAAGCGATAAAATTATAATGGCACAGATGTAATTAACCCTAATATAGGTAGCACATTTTCTCATATTTGCAACTGAGACCTCAAATGTTTGGAAAAGACGATGTTGACAATGTGGAGTTTTTTAATGAAATAAAAGACATTTGCAACAATCAAAACAATAGAGACATAGTACAGGAGACAAAAAGGTACATGGAAAACCACCTGCTCCTCAAACAGACAGCTCTACAGTATGCTGTGCTTTTTTTCTTCTAACATGCGTGAGCATATATTATTAAGAGAAAAAGAAAATTACAACTCACAATCCATAAGAAGTTAAGGGTCTCTTTGGAACGCGGGAAATTTTCCCTTTCTATATTTTTTCTATAAAATTAAACTGATTCGTGTGAAATTCTTGCACAATTCATGTGAAATTTCTGAGTTCCAAACATACCTTAAGCCTTATTGATACCATACATCAAAATACGCTACCTATATTATCCTTGTGAGTTGTGAGACTAGACTCGTGAAGATCACCTTTAGAGTTCAAGTTATTACAAGCAAACAGTTTGCGACCCGACACAATCATAGAAGTAACGTAGCAACAGACCTAGCGACCAGAGGCAAACAACCTAAGCAACGGGGCCTCCAGACAAACCACAATTCGCAATTGATTAACAGAGAGAAACTCAAAGTGCTATAATTTTTCTTTAATGTTAGAGCACAAGCCAACAAAAGCTAAATCAACAAAAAAAATATCAAAAATTGTCAAATAACCTTGGATGTTGACAATCCACATCAAAGTAATAGTTATTTATACAATCTGCATCTTTGTAGTTGAAATGTTTTTATTTGAAGTTATTTAGAGTCCCATAATTGTGTTTTAACTTCTAAGATTTTGAAATTTGAAATTTAAAGTTTAAAATGACCTTGAATGTTCACATGGTTAATACAAAATTTGTAGTGGCCGACGTAATCTACAAATTTGTAGTTGAGAATTTTTTATTTCAAGTTGTTTAAAGTCTAAATATTTGTTTTAAATTCATTTAATTGATATTAAAAATAAAATTTTAAACAGGAGACACATCCTATACCAAAGTTGTAGTGCTTGCTAAGATTTTTAAACTTTGTAGTTGAAACTTTTCATTTGAAACCATTTAGGGGCTGATATATTCAATACAAAATTACAAAATATTGATAAAAAAGATAGATGTCTATATATTACTCACAAATGAGTGTGTAGTCATGGGAGGATGTAGTGTAGGTGCATGGGGGTACAGCTGTACCCTCAAAAATTTTGTAAAAATATTAAGTATATAATATCTAGAACACTTTATATCAAATAAAAATAGGGAACTACTAGCGCCCGGACGTCCGGAGCAGATGAGCGTGTCCAGACGCCCTACGCATGCTGCTGCCCCAGCCTGCTCGCTCGTGCCTACCGCTGCACCGTATCGCCGCTGAACACGCACGTCCGTCCCCCGTCTGCCTCGCCCCACTCCCATACGTGTACCCCGCTCCCATCCGCCTCGCCCCGTCCCGCACACACACCCCGGCTATGCCCATCACTCCTTCCCCCTGCCCCTCCTCTATCCACACAGGTGGGAACTGGGAGCTTGAATGAAGACGAGCACGCCCCGTCCGCAGGACGCCAGACGCGTCATGCGTCCCATCTGCCGGCCCCTAGCTCGCCGCGCCCCTTCCCCCAGCGCCCAGGTCGTGCCCACATGACTCTCTGAACATACCTCTTAAATACAAAACACTTTAATGCAACATAAGTCTCAAGCAGATGAAACATTTGGAACATATAGTTGCA